CTCCCTTTTCTTTTTTTTTTTTTTTTTTTTGCACTTTATTAGACATTCAATTTTCACTTTTTGTCGAATATTTATTCTCATTATATATATATATATTGCAAATAGCTGCGCAAAATAGAAACGCAATTAGTCAACAGGCACGAAATAATTATCCCAAACAAATCGTAATGGCATCCACGATTATTTAATTAATTACCATAAACGTTATATCCTTCCTTTTTAAATAATAAATTTTCTCTATTGGAAAATAAATGTATATAGTTTCATTAAATTTTTAATAATTAAACAAACATGGACGATTTTGATAAATTGTTCTTTCTCGAGTATTCCATATAAGAGAAAAAATCGTGGACACCATCTTTTACCATCTTTGCTTAGAATTTGATTTTTCACGTTTTTCAAAAAAGGAAAAAAAAAAAAAAAATAAAATGTCCGAGCAATGAACGCAGAGCTTACAGAGTTGATCGAACATGCAGAATCGAAAAGGGATGAAAGATTTGTTTAAAGGAAAAAAACTTTATTTTCCTTAGGTTAGAGAGGAATGCAGCGATTGTTTCGATGCATTCGCTTCACCTTTCGCTTCGCCAAACAGAGTGAGTCTGTTGCAATTTCGAGTGCCTATTGTTGGCAACGGCAGAACGATCACAAGGGATTAAAGTGGTTTTCCAGTGAAGCTTGAAAAACCTGCACGTACCGCCATCGTTACCGAGATCTACGAGAAATACAGTTGCATGCACTCGCTTTAAAGATAGGAGGGGATAGATGCACGATCCTTTTCAAAGTGTCGTGGGAGAAATATTCGTAGAGAGAGAGAGAGAGAGAGAGAGAGAAAAAGAAAAAATATTTGGAATTTTAGCGCAGAAATTTAGGGAAGAATTTACAATCCTTCGAATTTATGCAGAATGTTCGACTGGATAGATTTAGTGAAGTTGAAGATAACAATTTTATGAATTTTAATATTTGTTTTGAGATATTTAATTCATCGAAGATGATTAAGAAGAATGATTAAAAATTTTGTTCGAAAAATTATTTATTTCCTAGTTATTTGAAGATGCAAAATGTCCCTAGTTGCTCGTAGTAATCGAAAAAGTATTAAAATGAAATATTTTTATTTTCAATTTTGAACAAATTTTTGAATATTTTCCATATAATTTTTAATCTTCAACAATGAAAACACGCATTTTCTGTATTTAAAATGTAGCTTCTTTATTCTTCGTTACTAACGAGTTAACGATCGACGAAAATATCTCTAGATCACTCACGCCAACTAATTGAAAAAAGAACTAGATTATAATAGTTACAAAACAAAACTTCGAACGAAACTTTTTTTATTCTTCATTTTCGTTCTCATTTTATTTAAAATGTTTGAATAATTTTAATCGTCGATAATTAAAAAAAAAAAATACTAAAAATACTAAAAATCATGGTCGAACATCCTGCACAGAACATCCTAACAGAATGACGATTTTTTCGTTGCTACAAATATGATACCCTAGAGAAAAATACCCTAGACTTGTGCATCGTTTTTCTATCGCAATTTCTCGGAGTAGGGGAAAAAACGGCTTTCACTTTGAATGGAGGTCTCTTGAATACACTCCTCGTCCATGAAATTCCACGATATTGTTAAACTTGAATTTTTAGATAGAATAGAAATTTTTTTTTTTTTTGTTTTCCAACGTGCTGAGTGGAAGTTGGACTCGATAACGATCTTTTATTTATTTATTTTTTTTTTTCACAATAAGTACACGTAAATTCTGCTTGATCAGGTTTTATGAAGATCTGGCTTTGATAGATTTACGATATTTCTTTTAAGGTAGATAAATTATAGTACTATCGTGGGGAGGGAACAATGTTTGAGAACTCGTGCAGCGTGCTCAGCAATTCGTTCCTTACCCCTGTCGTCGTCCACGTTTCAAACTAATATCGTGATAAATCACGTATCCACCATGTGAATAAAGGAAACGAAGTGGCTTTCTTTTTGTCTCTGCAAATATTAAACAAGATAATTTTCCATACATCATTCGATGAAAGCTATTGGATTTTTTTTTTTTTTCCTTTCTTCTATGGAATATTATTTTCTCGAGTTCGAGGGGAAGACGGATTTTCTCTGCGAGATAAATGCGGATTGTGTTGGTTAATTGAAATGGAATGGAAAATGTTTTAGAGAAATTTTATCAATAATTCAAAATTAACACCAAGATTTGTATGAAACACAAGATTAATATTTTTCGTGTTCAGAAATTATGGAAGCATGTTCCATTTCACAGAAGGTGCAATTGCATTTGTCTCTTCAACTCTGAAATTTTCAACATTAAAAATTTTCTAACATTCACAAAGGATATTCGCTCACCATTATGGGATACGAAACATAAAATTCACGTATTTTTAATTTTATAAAAATTCTCAATATTGAAAAAGTTTGTTCTCCGCCAATGGGATAACATTTATCCGAAAAATACGTGCGTGTATTTCGTCGATAAATTATCGAACCGAGAAACGGATTTGGTCGAATCACGCCCGGATGGTATTCCCACCAATGCCATGTCCCGGATCTCTTTTGACACTTTGACTTTGATGTGGATCCGCTTTGTGTAGAGCCCTACCAGTGTCACGATTGAGTTCCTAATTTCACATTCTACGCGGCCCAAACTCCGTGAAATTCGTGGCCTTCCGAGTTTTGGAACCCGTATCTATTCCAATATATTCAGACACAAAGCTCCTTGTATTAGATAAGTACCTTATTCCTAATCGATTGGCAAAATACTTGAAATTCCAAGAATAATTGGCCGTGTTCCGCGACAAAGCTCTCCGCATTCTTGTTTCAATTGTTATCGAGCATTTGTACGAGTGTAACGCTTGTTATTCTTAATTATAATTAGCATTTTACATTTTTTCCTTTCTATTATATCTATATTTATTGGAATTTCACTGTGTAGATGTTTAAGGAGTGATTTTTCAGCAGCAAGATAAGAAGAAAGTCAAGAATTGAAAAAAATTGAGTTTGAGGAATCTAGGGATATTTTTCTTTGAGTTTTATTTTAGTTTGATGTGGAGAATTATTTGGTGACTTTTTTAGATCTAATTCCCTCCAAGTGATTAGATAAGAAAATATGCATTTCAAATTATAATTAAAATAATTGAGACTGAATATCCCACGATTCACATCTCTAAGAAACTAAGGATTTAGAATCCTAAATTGCAAAAAAATATTTTACAAAAGATCTACTGTATCTAGGAAAATTAATCTGAAGATATTCACTATAAATTTAATCTATTATATATTACTCTTATAACCATGTTTATTTATACCTAGGAAACTATATTAGATCTAGGCTAGGGGAAAATTCACAAAAGATCTATTGTACTTAAAGATGTTCAACATAAATTTGATTAAAATCTACAATAATTGTAAGGAGAATGGCTTGATTCTCACGTTCACGTACACAACCAAACCACTTATTAAAATATACAATCCTAAAAGAAGCTTGATCACTATCATACACAACCTAGTTACCTATTAAAACTTTTACTTGTATCATATCTCCAGATATTTCAACTACTTGCCAAAATATATTTCTTCAAAACACGTTATCCTTCTCTCAAAATCACCAGCATCGTTTCACTCTAATCACATCTGTTCCACAGGTACACCATTATTTGATTTCAACTCCAAGCAATCCAAACCACCTTGAAATCCCTTCTTCTCTCAAAAATCCTCGTTTTCATCACATCTATTCCACTTGCAGATACGGCGTGCTGACCCCAAGCCGCGTCACAGCGACGATCATCAGCGTTTGGCTGATATCCGCCATGACAGTTGTGTTGCAATCATCCCTGGACGTAGGTCCCGACTTCTGCCGGCGACGTTTCACCGGTATAGCAATGGAGCAGATAATAGGCGCCACGTTCCTAGTAGGGCTGCCAACATTGACGACCATATTCCTCTACGTGAAGCTCGTGATCCGCGTCCGCCACGCCACAAGGGGCTCGTACAAGCCACCTATCGCATTCTCCTGGGACTACGAGCTAGCCAAGGCCAACATATACAGTTGCGTCATGTTCGTCGTGTTCTGGCTACCTTTCGGCATAGTCGTGTGCCTCAATTCGTTCAAACCGATAAGCCCACGTGTCCTGTACAACCTGGCCTGGTTCGCCCTCTCCAAATCCTGTTTCAACAATCTGATCTACTGCGTGGCGGACAGGCACTTCAGAAGCGCGTACGTCAAGCTTTTCCATTATTGCTGCTGCAAAACAACGGTGAGTTTTTCGAGGAGGACGCGTGGGGAGGGGGGCCGGAACACTAGCGACGTGCGCCTCAGAGTTCACATTATACACTCGTACGCGAGTCCTGGCTCTTGTCGGCCACCTGTCGGCAGGCCTAACGGGCGTGACGTTTACGAGCTCTGAATTCGACGAAATCACGATGTGCTTGAGACATGGATGTATCTTAAAAGGTATCAACGATCGCCGTCCAGTAGAGAGATTGATTATATTTCGGTTTGTCGTGTCGACGAGATATTCCCGTGATCGGCTAGGTTGTTCTTCGGTGTTGTAATTGAGATTCGAATTTATTTATTTATTTATTTATTTATTTTATCTTTAGGATGTGTGAGGATTGAAGGGTTCATAGGGAAGACTATTCTTATGATGCTTTTTGGCATGCAGGATGTTGATTCTTGAAATACTTTGAAACAATATTCTTTAGTGATTGAAAAGAATGCATATTGAGAGTTGCATATTGGTTGAAACTTATTTGTTTAATTGTTATGAACACTTTTAATTCGCATGAAAGAAAGCTTTGTCCAATGCAAACTTTAATTGCTTGTAATCAATAAGTTTTAAGTTTGCACTATAATTATTTTCCTAGACAATTCTGGGCTAACTTTATTCAGAATATAGTTTTGATTTTTTTTATATCAAGTAGATAGAGTGAATCAAGAATTCTTTAAAGGAAGAGTCAAGCATTCTTATTGAATATTTTGTTAAGGGAAAAAAATTGGAGATTCCAGAATACTTTTTTGGAAAAAGAACAAAATTTTTAAGGATAGTTTTTATTGTAACCCTTTAATTTTCAAAGATAGGAAAAATCAAAGAATTTTTAATACAGGAGAACCTTTATTATCTGAAGTATAACATTGGGAAAATAGTTTATTATTTATGTTCGTTATATTTTCACTGCTTCAAAGCTACATCTTATTCTGTTATATAGACAAAATTAAATTCTTACCAAATTATGTACATACATAAATGTCATGATTAACATTGTAGATATGATATTCTCGTTTTAAATAGCACACTGATTTAATTAAATGTTCAGACATTCGGATAACAGACGTTCTACTGTATCATTCCATTCTCTTATGTTCCTTTAACCTTCAATTAATTGACATATTAATATGTCTTTTATAATTGTTAATTAATATTCATTTAAGAATACATAGAGTACGGTCAGCAATAAATCTTCTTTGCAATGGAAAGAAGATTATGACCATATTCTATATTTCTCCATAAATCCTTTTAATTTTCATATAAATATTAAAAAAGAAAAAAAAAAGAATAGCAAAATAATAATACTACTCATTATTTTGGTACTACTAACAAAATTTAATTTAATCTTCTATTTTGGACATATACAGAATATTTAACTACAAATGTTCAAAAATTTTTCAAAGCAAAATAATGAAAATTAAAAATAAAAATATTGTTTTCTTTCTTTGCTTTGTAATATTATTCGCCATTTTCAATCGTTTTATTTCTAATTTTCTTTATTTTGCAAGAATTAATTTTGGAACTATCTATAGCCAAATATTCTGAACAAATTTTGTCCAATAGCCTGGCAAAAGTCAGACTACTCGTCTAGCATCGAGCATCGAAGGAATGTAAGTAGGATATTGACACTGAAACAGGAAATCGCCGTCCATTGGGAATTTTATCCTGTTGTCGTTCCGATACTAACGGATGTTTCCATCTTTCGGTCTGTATTCTTCCAC